AACAGTGTTTAAAAAAGTGGACGTGGTGGAGACTGTGGCGTTTTTTTGAAAACAAAAATGCTGCATTTTTTTTTTTTTTTTTTTTTTGGAGAAAGGGTCTCCCTGTAGCCCCAGGTGACCTGGAACTTACTGTATAGAACAGGCTGGCCTCGATCGCAGAGATCCACCTACTAAGTGCTGGGATTAAAGGTGTGCGCCACCGTGCCTGGCAAGGCTATAGTGATTCAATGAGGAGGAACATTATGAATCACAGAGAACAAAAATGTGCCGTGGTTGGATAGGGTCAGAAGTCGAGTGTCCTTCTTCCCCATTTGTAAACTGAGAGTGATATTCCCACTAGCTGTCTATTGATATGTGGCAAATCTCTTCTTTAGGGAATTCATGTTGAATCTGAAGAACACTGCAGTATATTGTGACTAAACAGGAAATGGCTACTGCATGTCTGCACTGTGTTCCTCAAGTAGATCGAAGGCATTTAAACTTTCATAACAAAAAATGTAGACGTTTGGTTTATGTTTAACAGTCTAGGATGGCTTCCTGCAAAATATATTGAAAATTCAAACAAAATTATCTTATAGGTGAAGAATATGGGCTGAAAATCCAACTGGAAGAACAAAAAAGGGCTGCTGATGACAAATTCCGATACAAACAGAGACAAATCAGAGAGCTTCAGGAAGACATCCAGGTGAGCTCTATGGGCCTTCTAGTACTAAGCCCTAGATAAGTCAGCTACCACTGTTACTACCTCCCCTGCACACACACGCCATTTAGAGCCTCTGCAGAGACCTCAAGGAACACAAAGCTCATTTAAAGCAGAAAACTGGTGATGACGTGAAGCCAGTCTGCGAAAGTCCTGAAAGGTCACTGCACCTTCAAACAAAGCTGAAAACACACCACTGAAAGATGTTAGAGTGGTCTGTGAGCAGGCTTGGCTAAGGAGCAGATGTCATGAGCTGTGGTTATTTGAAAGCTGCGTAACTTCAAGACATTGCTTCTATTTTAATGTTTCTATGTGCCATAAAAAGATATTTCTGGGGCGAGATGGCTCACTGCTTAAGAGCACCGGCTACTCTTGCAGAGGACCCAAGTTTGGTTCCCAGCACCAATGTGGCAGCTAGCAACCATCCATAACATCAGTTCTAGGGGATACAACACCCTCTTCTGATCTCTGTGGGCACTGCATGGCATGGGTACACTTCCATACATGTAGGCAATACACTCATACACGTAAAATCAAAATAAAATATTAAAGATAGTTCCCAGTGAAATTAGACACAAAACCCAGGAGTTCATTGCATAATACATGAAAAAAAACAATTAAAAAGCCGAGAGTTGACAAATGGCAAGTGGGACTTTTTTTAAAACTCTAACCATGAGTAACCTGGTAACCTTATTTTCTAGAGCATGGAAAATACTTTTGAAGTTATAGAACATTTAGCAAATAATGCCAACAAGAAATTTTCCGAGAAACAAGCTTATTCATTCCAATTACGCAGAGAGACCGAGGAGCAGAAGCCAAAATTAGAGAGAGTGACTAAGCAGGTATGGACCCCTTAGGCTAGCCGCTAACTCACAGCTCTCAGGTAAACCCTTTTCTCTTAAAAAGTTTTGGAAAATAGGCTTATGTAATAGTTGACTATTTGCCAACAGTGTGGGAGACTCATAAAAGAAATACGTATATCGAAACATACAAGAGAGGAGACCCTAGAAGAACAAGACATTAACCTCCGTGAGCTCAAACAGCTTCACAAGAACATTGATGAAATGCTAGTTAATGCCATGGAAGATCCTGAAATCCGTGTTGTTCTTCAAAGGTATTTTGAGCAGGTAAATACAGTGTTGTCCAGTAAGTGCAGAGATCTAATTAGTTGCTGTCTAAAATGCAGTAGAACTAATGATCACTGTTGCAACATTCTTCCAGGACGGATTAGAGCTACCCAGAGTCCCCACTAAGGGCGCTGGTCAGAGTTCTCCATCTCGGCAGACTGCACTGCTGTCAGTCAGGTAAGTGGAAACACTGTCTCGTTAGCAGCCGCCTGACCAGCCAGCGCTGCCTGAGCTCCTCTCACCTCAGTGAGTGAGCTAGCATTCTGGATGAACCTCGACTCTGAAAAGATCTTTTTAAACTATAAAAGGACAAGCTGGAGGTATAGGCAGTAAGCACGAGCTTTGTAGTGAAAGCTGCTTGTTAAATTCTACGTAGCCAGGGCTTACTGATGACACCTTACTTTGCACAAAGGAAACTCATTTTTCCTTCTGCAGTTTAATGCAACCCAGAATTCTACTGTTAAGAATACGTAGTCAACACTAAGGCTTTGCTGACAGTTTTACTAATGACAAAGCTGATTTTAGGATTTACAATCTCCATAGTTGGCTGATGAATGATACCATTTTTTATTAGTCTATGGAGCTGTTTCAGGGAAAAAAGGGGAGGTCCTAAAAGGCAGTGTTTAAGTGTAAAACAACTCCTTCTACATTACTATTATATTAAGTAGTATAGCTACTTAGACTCTGGACTTTTCATAAAACGTATTTCATTGTATGGCTATTTTCCAAATGATCTGTTTTTCCTGTCAGTATACCTCCCTTTCCTCTTCAGCTTAAATTATGTAAGACTTTCATTTTGATCACTTTTGCCAGCACCTGACTGTCCTTTATTACCACCTTACAAACGAATGCTTCTAAGTCTAAGAAACTGATTACAGTTGAAAACATTTTTCTCACAGAAACAACTACTGAACTATTTATTTAACCTATGTTCATCTCTTTAAATTTTTTTATAGCAACGGTCATACTTTTAAAACGTATTAATACTATCTCTGTCTTACGGAATTATGACATCTTTGGTCAGTAACTGGGTCTACATGGAGTACGTTCTGCAGTAAACTCATAATAAACTTCCCCCAGGTCTCGTCAGAGCAGTGGCACGAGCACTCCTGCTTCCCAGGCGTCGGTTAGAGTGATAGAGCTCAGCCTCCCAGACCCCCCACCAGAAGGCAACAACTCTAGGCCGCCCAGCACTGGCAGCAACTCTAGGATTTCTAAAGGCAAGAAGCTCAGCAAATAAACATTTTCATCTCTTGAACAAACTTTGAAAACAAAACAAAAATCCCAATATGGTTAAGTTTCATTGTTTCTGGGGTTCCGTAAGATGACACTACAGGAGGGTGCTGAAATAGTACTGGGGACATCGAAGGTGAGGCAGAAGTCCTGCACAGTGGGCCTAAAAGCTGTTTGGTTAAAAAAAAAAGCTTTCTTTATTCACAGAGAAGGAAAACAGCAGACTCTAAACCAGGCAACATGGCACGAGCCGAGGGAACTGCTGTCGTCGCTATGTTTGAGTGCTAGAAACACTTGTTCACTGCTTCACGAAGCCACCATACGCCTCTAAGGCAAGGGTCACAAACACATTCCTAAGTCAGTGCACATCACAAAAAGGAAACCCTCATTGTACTCCAGAAGATCACAAAATCAGGTTTTATTCAAAAACACAGACTTCCAAGACTTCCGGAAGAAAATGTAATCCGTCAAAGGAAGTTCTTTTTTGTTGTTGAACTTGTAACCAAAGATAGAGCATCATTACCACCCACCCCAAGAACATTTCTGTTGAGATGCTGTATGTGGGCATATACGGATACACCTATCTCTGTGTGTGCACATACAGAATGTACAGCTTAAATTTCTAAGAATCCCTCTACTCTGACCTTCAAAGAATCCAACATGTTAAATTCACGCTGGAGGTAGACAGTACATACTACATTGGGGATTAGTTCTTCAGCCACTGTTCTGTGTACAGAACTTTGAACTTTTAGGACTAGGGAGTTAAATACTATGCAGCGATCTCAAGCACATGCAGTATACTCAGGTGTGTAAACGAGCACATCCTTTAAACCCTGAAGTCTTCATCACAGCTTCAGGTCTCAGTCTCAGCACCACCTGTGTTTTCTGAGAAGCACAGCGGTGCAGGCCGATTTTCTGACTGGCTTTCATTTAGAAAGGTGTCCTGAAGTTGTCATTAAGGTGGCTAAAAAAGCTGAGTAGGTTTTGGTTGAAACACTGAACACTGACATGTGCCGAAAACTGAGCAGTCCTAGTCACTTTGTTCCCAATGCTGACTCCCAGCCATGTATCAGTCTGTAAGCTACTGGAACCAAACATTAAGCTTTGTGTTCTCTGAGCAGTTCTTACCAGGGCACGCACTTTCTTTGCTTTTTCCTCTTCTAACAGAGACAGATCACAGATTTACTGAATGTAACAGGGTAACTGCACTGTTAAGTCACTAACTTCTTAGACTATACTACTAGGCCACAGCTTATCTGTGGGATGGATGGGTTTATCGGTCAGCACCCATGTTTCCTCTAACCATGTGACCAGTTCTAACTTCATGTAATAATGCTAATGGTAGGACAAAGCGCAACCTATTTCTGTACCTGGAGCTATCCTAACATCCGGGAGTCACAGCTAGCCTGAGCACATTACACGCCGTGGACACAGATGCGGAAATACTGCGACAGGCACCACCCAGGATCCCTGACCACTTGAGTCCCCTCTGCTGAGGGATGTCCTCGGTGCAGTTTGAAGTGGATGCTCATGTTAGTTAGTGCCCTCCACTATCATTACTGATGGGAGGGGAGGCTCTGGAAGAGGGAATTTCCAAATCCAGGTGGCCCGAGAAAAACCAGTCAGAAGCTGCACAGGGTTCTCAAGGATTAAGGGGTCTGCAAAGAGGTTTCCCTCAAAAAACCACCTCACTGTGTAGACTAGGTAGGAGCAGCACCGGAGCTGCTAAAACAGAGCTGGCCCTTTTGAGAGGTGTTCCTTGGTGCAAAGACTAATTAATGAAGTGATAAAGCAATTTCTACTGCGTTATCTATTTTGTTTTTTAAAAAACATTTTATTTTTTGTGTGTAAGTGTATTAGCTGCATGTATGTAAGTGCACCAGTGTCATGCAATGCCTGCAGAGGTCAGAAGAGGGTGTCAGATACCCTGGAACTGGAGTTAGCCACCATGTGGGTGCTGGGAACTGAACCCAGGTGCTCTTCAAGAGCAGCCAGTGCTCTTAGCCACTGAGCCTCTCCAGCCTCCAGCTATTGTTCTTAACCAAGGGTTCTTTTTCCTATTGCACTGCAAAGCAACTTTCAGATTTGACAGCAGCCTTTCACTGTGATTTGGCACAGGCAGCATGTATAGATGTTAAAGCTTTAGTTTTACTGGTGGACAGAAGCACATACCAAAGCAACGAGCTCTTCTGTTTGCCATTCCCTGACTTCTGTGGGTGGCTCCTGTCTAGTGACAAATGACAGAGGTCCACCATTTACTTTCCAGAATCATCATCTAAGAGCACCACGAGTCAGCAGCGATGGCGCCTACCAGCACTTCCCATAGCACACGATTTAATTTTTAGTAATGTGGAGAGGATCTTCTTCCTTCCTTAGCTGTAGACATGAAATCTTTATTATTCCTGTGTGCGTGTGTGTGTGTGCATGTCTGTGTGTGCATGCCACTGTGTGCATGAAGTCAGGACTGGATGGGGAGCCAGTTCTTGCACTCTCAGGTCCGGACACGGAGCCCAGGTTGTCAAGCTGGAAGGGCAGTCACTGCCACCTGAGCAACCTGGCTGGCCTGGGATTCACTCTTGGGAAAACCAAGCTCTGGTTGGTCTAGTTATTTACGAAAATTCCCAGGAAAGGCATCAATAAGGGAGAAAAGGTGATAGGTAAGAAGTTAAGGTGTAGGCAGCCCTAGGCTGTTTAAAAGCATTCCTGGTGACTTCCCTAACATTTTTATTACTAAGAAAACCAGAGGAGAGTATGGGAAATGGAGCTTTTCTGCCACTGCTAGTTTAGCTAAAAGGGTTGCTTTCTATTTTGATCTACTCCTGCCTAGAATTCTCTAAGGGTTTTGTCAATATTTCAAGTCAAAAATTTTCTTATGGCCATGATGCTAGCAGTAAGTAGAAGTAGTAATGGAGAAATAAATGAAACAGGTTCTAGTAAGCTTTTATGGGTCTTATTCTTAAGGTACTCTTAAGCTGTGAAGAAAACAATGTTCACAAACCACTTACATCAGGTTTTAGGAGAAAATCAAGTCATAATTTATCATTTATGAATATTTATTGTAAAAAATTGAATACTTTAAACAAATGATTTAAAACAGTACCTATGAAACATTCAAGCATCTTTTTCAAAGGCTACAGGGCTTTTAACAACAGAATAAAACACTTTTTTGATCAAAAACAATCCAACTGTTCAAAACATAAATTTAATTTTCTCTCCAACTGCGAGATAAGATGGGCCCAGGACTCTCACAAACCACAATGAAATAAAAAAAAGTGCTCTCAGAAGTATCTTTAGGTTAAGCGGAAATTGTCGGGAGTAAGACCCCTCTACCACAGGCCAGCCATAAACCCCCAGGCACTGACTACAAGGGGGCCTGGGGCTGAACTGGTGCTTGAAAGCCTTTTTCTAATTGCTCCAAGTACTCTTAGAAGCAGAGCTGTTAGGACTGACACCCCAGACCTCTGACAGTTTAGTGCAACGGAATACATTTCCTTAGCAATCACTTTGGCTTATTTCCTTTTTCCTTCTCAAATTCAGCTATCTGGTTAAAGATGTTGAGTAAATTCTGAGGTAGGTGTCTCTTAACGCTGCTTTCAGGGTGCACCTTGCTGCTTGGCCTGTCTTCTGGAGCCCCTGTACCAGTGCCCTCCCGACAGACGTCCCCTCTTTCACACGCCCCCTGCTGTGTGTGGATGCGACACCTCTGCTCGGGTCTCCCGAGGTCACGTGACCCAGAACGGGCGTTCTTTCTGTGTTTTTCAACTGGTTTCCAAGAGTGGTCTGACCGTGCAGGGGAAGTGGGGTGCCTCGCAGAGCAGGGCTCCCAGCGCCGGGTGTGCTCTCTTCTCCCCGCCGCGGCCTCCTCCAATCTCCTGGCACCAGACCCTTTGACTCTGTCCTCGGAATTTCTACAGAAGGAATCCGAGGAACTTCTACCGGGAAAATGTCTTTCTGGTTTATATGGCTTTTCCGTCTTGCTACTACCTGCCTGGGGTTCGGAGCCATCGTAAAAACCTCTTGGCTCTTCAGACCTACCTCTGCAACCAGCCGGCACGTCAGCTGACGATGAAGAGAGAGGCCCTTTCTCCTTCTCCTCTACCTGTGTGCTCTGGCACTGGGACCCGGCCTGCTTTTCTAGCAGTTTTTCCACCTCTTGTCTCTGGTTCAGGAAAGACGCCGAGGTGTCAGTGGGGACTGGGTAGCACTCATCTTTCCTACCCGGATCTCCGTGACCTGAGGCTGCCCTGGACCAGTGCCTTCTGGAGCCACGGGAAGACTCGGAACGAGCCCTCTTACTCCTCCTATGCCGTCTGTGACCAGAAGAGGAAGAGGATGAGGAGGAAGAAACGGATTCATCCGCAGAAGAAACACTTGAAGAGGAAGACGATGATTTTCTTCTTTTCTTCTTTAGCCTTAAAGAAACGTAGTTAGCTTATCAGACATACTAAGTACAAAATGGTGGTCAAATAGCCACAGATCTGACCCAATTCTGCCTTGCTTGAAAATTTCTGAAAGCTGTTGCTCTGATAAATGATATAATCATCTCAGTCACTAAATCAAGTTTTATCACTAAGCAGGACTTTTGATAAGATTTAGTGCAGGCGTCACTATGCAAACCCATTATCTCTGAAAGATGCAGCGGTGCTCCCACACAGGTAGTTAAGGTAAGCCTGCCTTAACACGGGGAGGGACGCTCCATGGCTGCCTCTAGTGGCATCATGGTCCCAGCACACTCAGGGTCGGTTCTGAAGGCAGCAGCAGGATGTCCCGGGCACTACAGGACCCGAGGGCCAGAGCAATGCCAGCACCTTCTCACCCTTAGGACAATCACAAATACATCTGGACATTGCCAAGTATCTTCTGGGGTGTGAAATGACCAGCAGCTGAGCTACGGCTCTCCTGCCACAGCCAGATACATGGCTAGGGTAGCCTGCTCTGTATTTGAAGTCTAACCTAAAAGAGAATTCTAGTCTTAGATTCTACTTAGAAAAACATGGACTGTGTACTTGCTAAGAACGATCATTTGGAATACACTACCTCACTTACTTCACCTCCATGTGGCACGTTGGGTTACTCGGTAGTTGATTTTAAGTTAAAAAACACTGAATGTCATGGTTTACCTTTTCTCCTCTTTTAAGAGCTTACGCAACTTTTCTGCACTTGTTTCTATTTTCTTTGTTTTCTGCTTTTCTTCTTTTTCAGCTTGTTTTTCTCTTAATTCCAAAGATTTCTTTTAGAACCCAGGTATCGGAAAAAACCACATGTTAAAAATAAACATAGTAGCATATGCAAATCCAGTATTTGGAAGACCCCCCCCCCACGGAAACCCAAGTCAGCACAGCCAAATCACCATTCAAGCCAGCATTGAACAGGTCAGTTGATGGAAATGAAAAAACGAATGACATGTGTTTGGCATTAACCGTGTGAATGGCCAGAGTAGCGTTGAGGACCATATTGCAGTTGGTAACCCACCAAAGGCAGGGAAGCCATTGCAGGAGGTACCAACGACCCAGATGCACATAAGAGTCACGAAAAAGGAAAAATTATGTTTAGAAAATTGAAAATTTCAACAGGATAAATTTTACAAATAAAATTCAAATAAGAACGTTCCATAGAGGTGAATGGAGGGGAGAGTCATCGTGTTCAAATACAAACCATTTCAAAAATAGCACAGCCCAGTTGGATGCATGATTACATAGGAAATCATTTTCCAGTTTGCGGATGGGGATGAGCAGCACCAGACGTCAGACACAGCGGCAATGGTCCAATCAGAAGAGAACGCATGAGAAAACATCATCATCAGTATTACAGGAAAGGGTAGGTGAGACAGATCTACACAGGCTTGCTAAGCAAGTCAACTATAGCAGCATACTCCCAGTAACCTCCTAATACCAGGTGAGCTTTCTGCAGAGGGCAGCTCTCAGAACACACACTGAACCAGGCCCAACTCTCCTATGGCTACGTCTCCTTTTCATACAAAAGCAGTGCTATGAAGCAACGTCAGACTTAGGGAAAGCTTCTTGTAAAAACTACTTTTCATGATACTTCATGTAGTAATCTACAATAGTTTCTCCTAGAAGAAATTACATTTTGGCACTAATTTTAAATACCACTAAATGTCTAAGAGGAAATAAAGAATCACCTGCATGTACTTATGAAGTTTCTGCAAAGCATCCTCTGCATCTTGGAACGTCTCATCCAGAGCCAAAGCTTTCTTATAGTTACTTTCAGCATTTAAAAACTTCTCCTCTTCTTCTAACCTAAATGAGAAAGGAAGACTTAGCATTTGTAAATTAAAAGCACGAATACCTATATCACGTGCTTACTGTAATTTACTTGACAAAGAGACCACTTAAAAAAAAAGGCATTTATTTATTAATAAAGGAAAACACGTGATAAGCTGATATCCAAAAACAAAAATGTTAACAGAATCTTAATCTTTAGCATAGAATTATATAAACTGGCTTTTTTTTTTTTTTGCTTTTAGTCGTTTTTATGAAAAGTTTTCCTTTCTACTGAATTTCATTTTTACAGGAAAACCACCATTAAAATTCTTTGGGAACACCAACATGCATGCATGTAGGCACACACAGTTGTAGGTAATCATAATCCACAATCATTATAAACATATAACCTACAAGTCTATGCCGTGAAAACAAATGAGCAAGTCTGGGTGGGTGTGGTGGCCACACTTGTAATCTCAGCTCTTAGGAGGCAGAGGCAGGAGAGGGTTACTAGGAGTTTGAGGCTAACCTGGTCAAAATAAGTTCAAGTCAGTCGGGGTTACATAAAAAAAGGAAACTTGGATACAGAGCAATGACAGGACTTTGCAAAATACTTCTAGTTAACAGAAGAACAAAGCAATTGCTGCAGAACGATGGACTCCTGTGGGTGCCTGGATGTGGAGTACCTAGGGATGAGCACAGAAATGACCACATGTGTGGTCTGGATATCGGCCAATATGCCATCCCCTTGGCTATCACTAGTGGTAGCCACCTTCATCTCAGCAGGGCTAGCCACCCACCTGGAGACAGAAAGCGTGTCTCCAGTCACTAATTCAATCTCGTCAGTTTGGAACTTGACCATTCTAACTAGAGTATCACCCTTCAGAATGACTAGGCAGACTTAGGAAGCAGAGCTGAACCTACTTCTTAAAGAAAAGCAGCAAAGGGCTGGGGGTGTATCGGTGAGAGGGTGCCTAACGCTGGGTACTGTCCTCAGTACTGAAACAGGAAAAAGCCCAACAATGCGATTAATCACAAGCTGGCTGTCAACTGTCACAGCAGACTACTGCCGAACTGGGGTTTAAAGCATACACTAGGCTGGTCTGTCAGTCACCAATTCCAACTCCTACAGGCACCATGGCTTCTCGGGAATTGTTCTCCCTCATGACGTACTACACCATTTACTCTGAATTTGTGCATTTTAATGAACAGAGCAGTTAGAAGATGAATATAACAGCAAAATATTAATTACAGATTTTAAAAATTAAATCCCTTAGTTTTAGAGCAAAACTTTCTGATGTTACGTCTTGGAATACGCTTACCTATCTCTTGTACTTTTTCAATTACATTTCCATGTAATATGAACAGATGTAGTCAGAGCAATGAACTCAAGACTTCAAAATACTTCCAGCCACAAAACACCTCAGTCATAGGCAGAGAACAGAGACTAGAGGATTTAGAAAAGGACTGTAAAGATGCTAGCTGGGCACAGTGATCCCGGCACTCAGGAGGCAGGGCCAGGTGATCTCTGAGTTTGAGGCCAGCCTGGTCTGTAGTGAATTCCAGGCCAGCTGGGGCTAGAGTGAAGTCCTGTTTCAAAAACAACGAAATACTGCTCTTGGCTGAGAGAAGCTCCTTCCCCACAACGCTCAGGGAGCTGCAGTCGGTGGTTGAGCTCTGACCTCAACTATTAAGTGGAACCCAGACTTACTGCCCTCCTCGTTCCACAAGCGTCTGGCAGAGGTACTTTCTCGCATTCCTGTGAGTTGGGCAGTTTTCTAGCGCAAGCTCAAAGTCTTCTATTGCTTTGTTCAGACTTCCTTTTGTTGCGTATCTAGGGACAGTAAGTAAAATTAGACACTGAGCCTCCTAACTTAGAGATTTTTCCATTCCTGTAACATTCCTTAAAACCCACAGTTCACTCACAGAGCTCCACGAGCTACCAAAGCTTCCACATTCTGTCTGTCGATTTCTAGAGCTTTATTGTACTCATTCATAGCGTCCACATGGCGTCCAACCTTGAAATAATCCACTCCAATCTTCACACTGAAAACACATTTGGAAGACATCACAAACATTTCACAAAATATCTATATATACAGTTAGTGAGAATAACTTTTAAAAGAAAATGCCTTCAAATTTGGCAAATATTTAGGTTTTGAAATATTCTCTATATACTTTAAAAAACACTGCCTTTGGAGATTTTCATAACATCTGAAACCTGGGTATCAAGATACTGTTTCTTTCTGAAAAAATGAAAGCAAGCCAGGCATGGTGGTGCACACCTTTAATCCCAGCACTCAGGAGGCAGAGGCAGGTGGATCTCTGTGAGTTTAAGGCCAGCCTGGTCTACATAGTGAGTTCCAGGACAGCTGGGGTACAGGGAGACCCTGTCTCAAAAAGACAAGACGAAACAAACAAAAAAACCAAATGAAAAAAATGAAAGCAAATTCTGAACATGAACCAAGCCTGGTCGTGATATAGGGCTATGTGGCTGTCCTAAGCTTTCACACTAGACAATACAGTCACTGAAACAATCTTCATACCATTTTAAAGCCCAAGACGCAGACTGTTTCTTTCTTAACGCAGAAGCAAAATCATCTTCAGAGAAATTTTTGCTATTGAAGAAAATGAAAGTAAAAGTGTAAATACTTTGAAAATATACTTTAATTCCATCTCAGGCACTCAATGATGGTGAGATAGTTTTAGGCAGGAAATTTATTACATTTCTACGGCAAAATCCTTTAACTGTCAGACATGAGTATTATTGTAGTACTTCTGTTAAGCACATATGCAAAGTTTCTGTACCTGTCTCCACTTGGTTACATAGTGGAGATCTAATCATGGATAAGAGTGCAACCCAGGAGGCGATGGGCCGCTCAGTTCCCTCAGGCTTTGGTATCTTTCCATTGCTACAGTCAAATGTGCTCTTCAGTTGTGTGGCGTCTGACCTAATGCCATTCCCCTTACCACCTAAGAAAAGGCAGACCTACATTACCTTTGGAGGCCTCGCATTAAAGATGGTGGATGAGATTCATCTATTCCTAGTTTTTCTAAAAGGAATTCAACTACTCCTGGATTAACAAATCCCAGAGAACTCTGCATGATATTTTCATAGGACTCCAAAGAATTACTATGTAGTTCAACACTTCTCCTTAAAAATCAGAAACAGAAACACATGATTACAATAGTTAGCACACCTCACTTCTACTAAAAACATTAGTATATGAGATTTAAATACTAATGCCAAACTGTTAACTACTGTGATAGTTCCTTTTATCAAGCCTAAAGCAAGCTAAAGTCACAAAAATGAAAACCCATTCTATACTAAAAGAAGTTAAAATTCTACTTTGTTGTAAGTTTGACAAAATTTGTTATTTTCACCCAGGAAGCCCTCCCCTCAAGGTAAACACCTGTAGTACAAAGGGAGCTCTTCAGAAGTGATCACACCCAGTTTAATGCTGGAGAGGTGAGGTGGGAGAGACGAGCTGTACAGAGACACGGCAAGCTTCTCATGGTATCTGTCAATATCCTTGATTCCAGCTTTAAAGAAAAGACCAAACTCAGTAATAAAACAAAAGGATACCAACTTTCTTCTAAAGGTACCACCTTCATCAGACTGCTTTCAGCCTTAAAAACAGAAAAACTGTGACTTTTAATTAGTATGTTGAAACTGATCACCTCGAATTATGTCACCGGTTTGATAATAGGACAAAGGATCGCCATGGTTACTGTGAGGAGGCACGTCTCTTAATGGACACAGCGCCTGCAACGAGAGGTATCTGAGAATAGCAGCCAGTTCGGGACAAGACCTTGACCTCCGTCATCCACTGTGAGGAGGTTAACGCCTGGCATGGACGTTCACCAACCATTCAAGGTGGACACTTGTTACACACATGCAGGGTAGTGTGATGACTTTACAGACACACAATGTGCAATTACTGTATTGGCATAATGGGTAACAAATGCATCCTTTCTGTTCAGAGCCTTCAAACTCCTAGTTCTCTCAACTCCAGTCAGCCTACTGTGCCACGGAAGCCCTGCTGTCTTGGCATCACGGGCCAGCTGTCTAGCTTCTGCCCCCAACCTCCTTTCTGACCCCGGGCCCTGCTCTGCTCCCCTCTTTGGTGCCGACTTCCTGGCTTCCGCACACAATGCAACTCGTGCTATGTGTCTCTGAGTCTGGCTTATTTCACTTGAGGTCTCCAGCCCCATCCACCTCACTGCAGATGGCAGGGTTCATTCCCTGATGCCTTTACTCACCTGCCAGTGGACAACTCAGTTAACTAAATTTACGACTTTAGCCATAAACAATTTCTGTGTTCAGACACCATAAAGCTGTGTTTTCAGTTTTAGGAATCAACTACAGATGATAAAAAGATCTTTGGCACTTGGAAAAAATAAAACTAAAGTTTGTCTAGAAACACAGGGATGCCAGTGAAAACAAGATGTGTCTTCTCCAAAGCTCTGTACTTCCTGTTCATAAGGCCAGGCAGCAAACATCAACTCCACTAAAATGAGACATTTACAGTCTGGACTGTTCCTCTATTTGCTGTGAATACATGACGGGAAGTCTTATTTCTAAATTACTCACATGAAGCATGCAGTGCTAAGAACATGTTACCTTAGAAGACACATATCCAGGACAGCCGTCAGCCTCACCATACCCACTAACGGAGCTCTACACACGCAAAAAAGGACCCAGGCAGCCGGCCAGCCTGTCTGCTGGGGAGGTGGGCGCACTTACTGTGATCTCCAAGTGGGAGATGTCTCTCATGATGCCGCTTCCCAGGCAGATCAACACCATGAAAAACCCGAACTCCCGGATGGAGCTGATTCTCCCAATGACGATGTCTCCCCGCTCTACATCTCGGAAGAAGAGGTCTCTGCGGTCCACACCGGGGATCTCCATGAACTGCTCCAGCGGCGGCATGACGGCATAGTGATCTGGGACACAGGAACAACGGCCTCCACGTCCCTCCTGGTTCCCTGCCTACCCCACCAACGCCCTGCAGACACCCCCAGGTCCTGCGGATTCCCCAGCCCGTGGACACCGCCCCATCCCGGTCCTGCAGACATCCAGCTTGGTCCCACAGACACCCCTGGTCCCGCAGACACCACGGGTCCTACAGACATCCCCTGCTCCCGCAAACTCCCCCATATTCCACAGACACCCCCGGGTCCTGCAACAACCCCCTCGGTCCCGCAAATACCCCCAGGCCCCGCAGACACACCCAGGTGCTACAGACAACCCCCAGGTCCCACAGACACACACACCCCGACCCCCCACACTCACGGTCTCCGTCCTCGTGCACTTCGGGGGCGGCGGGGGCGGCCGCCTTCCAGGACAGCGCGAAGAGCAGGTCAGCCTTCTTGGAGATGAACGTCTGGACCTCGGCGCTGTCCGCTCTCCGCTCCTTCCTTAAAGACCGGCGGGGGAGCTGGTGGGTGCGAGACCGGAGCACACCGGGCCGGGAGGGGGAGGGGCGGCGGGGCAGCTCCGGGGGGCGGGCGCTCCCTGGGGACGGCCCTGCACCCCCGCCCGTACCTGGGCGCTCCCGGGGCAGCGGGACCGCGGGCCGGCTCGGCAGCGGTGCCCAGCAGGCTCCGGAAGTGCGGGTTGTCCTGCTGCTCGCTCCGCAGCAGCGCCAACAGCGCCGGCCCGTGGCAGCCCAGCGACTGCCGCAGTAGGTCGCGGTCCATGGCGGTCTGCGCTCCCGCAGGCGGCCGACGGGCCCGGCACGATTGCCTCCGGGACGCGCTCGCGGAGGCACTCGGCCCGGGTCTCGCGAGATCCGGCGCTGCTACGGAAGCCGGCCGGCCGGAAGCGCGGACGGACCTGACGCCCCGGGCGACTAGTGTCTGAGTGGTGACCTGTGGGCAAGGCCGGTGCTAAACGGTACGAGGTGACGTCGTTTTACGTCAGAGCGGGTCGAACTCCACCTTGGCGTCACCTGGCAGCTCTAGGGCACAGCGGCCGAGGGGTGGAGCGCTAGGAAGGAAGTTCTCAGAATTCCGGGCAGGGGAGGACGTGCTCAGAGCACCGGGGGAAGAAGTTCTCAGAACACATGGCAGGGGAGGAAGTTTTCAGAACTCCGGGCACGGGAGGAAGTTCTCAGAGCAGAGCGCCGGGGAGGGGGAAGTTCTCAGAGCAGAGCGCTCGCCGGCAGGTTCTCGGGTGTAGTCTGGAGGTTCCTGGGCACCGGGGCCACAGTGGCAGAGCCGTCACTGCGCAACGTGTGCACCAAGTGCCCCGCGTGTGCGCAGCTGCTCCGGATTTCAGTCAACGCCCAGCAGCCCTGATTCTGTAGCCTCTGTAGTTATGGCGGCTGCCTCGTCAAAGTCTCGTCTGCCTGGTGCTGTTGCACGTCGAGCTGTGGCAGAGGAACTGAGGCAGACGTGCTCACACACACAGGCTGGGCTTTGCCTCCTCTGCGTGGTGATGGCCTTACACGAAAAATAACATCTGCCAGGCGCCCGACTTCCGAGTGCCACACCCACCGCAGAGGGCGAGGCTTCTCAAGTTTCGGGTATTTTGAATTCATTTTCTTCTGGGACAATTACTCCTCTTGACTAAGAAGGGAGCAGAGCCCTCGATTTTTGATAGGACTAGAGGTGTGAAGAGGGAGAGGGCACGGGTGCCGGAGTCTCAGCCTGCTAGCCGATGGCTCTACCACCGAGTTACAGCCCCAGCCTGTTTTTAAAATTATTATTTGTGTGTGTGTGTGTGTATTGCCTGCATGCATGTGAGTGCACTTGTGTCGTGCAATGCCTCAGAGGTCAGAGGCTGGTGCCGAATTCCCCTGAAATTGGAGTTAAGGATGGTAGCCGCCACGTGGGTACTGAGAATCGAACCCAGGTCTCCTGCAAGAGCAGTCAGTGCTCTTAGCCGCTGAGCCATCTCTCCAGCCCTCCAGCCTGTTTTTAAAGGAATCTCCAAGAAACTTCAGCAATATGGCTAATTTAATGAACTGGGTGGAGAGAGGGGCATTACAGGGGATGGAAGCAGTGAAGGAAATTCAGAAAGCAGGTGTACCAAACATTTCTAATGTCTGGCTTTTAGGCCTGTTTTTATTGTGATACCAAATTTCATTTCTAAGTAAACACATTGTGTATACCCTTTAAAAGCACTCCAGATTCTGGAGATGCAAAGATGCAGACAGGACTTCTGGTGCCTGAGTGACTCAGTCCAGCGGTGGGAAAGGCATGAGGATAAAGACAGAGATATGACGCAGTGGAAAAGTAATTGTGTGGACACTGACCCAGTTGTTTGCTTAGATTCCTCTCTGGTTGGCGGTGGTAGTCAGGAAAGAATGAGACCAACTGTGTGCGCTCTACACAGTGGGGACAACGTAATCGAGGGAGAAGTATGGAAAGTCAAGATCTGGAGACTGCTCACAACTGTGATATTGAATTGCAGGTAACTGACATTCTCACTATGTGAAGGCCTCTCGGGAGGGCTGAGGCTGGGGGAAGAGATTGCCTCCGTTGTTCAGAAAAAGAGAGAAGGAAGGCGTGAAAGGAGGGAGGTAGGGGAGAAGAGCTAGGAAAAAAAGGTATTCCCCACTTAGCAAAGAACACAGAAACTTGGGTGAAGTGACGTGACCACATCAAGGAGTGGCGTAAGTGTTTTTCTTGGATCTCCCAAGTTTCTGAAAATAGTATGTACAGCTGTGAGTTTATCTGCAAAAGACAGTCTTTAAATTTCGGAAACTCATGTTACCATTTACAATATGATTTCATGAGATATATTTATAGACACATTCTTTCTGGTTCTTTATCCCAATACAAACTATCAACAAGGCCTTGTTCTCATCTGGGCTTAAGGATGATGTCCATTAGGGAAGGCAGCTACCAAAGGAGACCCCAGTTATCACTCAGATATCATTTTCCTTGTCAGCACCTTACAACTGACTCCCTCCCCTTTGTTTTCAGAAATAGATACTACTTTTAGAGCAATTTTAGCTTCACAGCACAAACAAGTAGAAGATAGAGAAACTTCTCTAGGTTACATGCATTGCCCCCTCGTTTTAAAAATCCCCCACCAGAATGGAGAAACTTCTCTAGGTTACATGCATTGCCCCCTCGCTATGAAAATCCCCCACCAGAATGGAGAAACTTCTCTAGGTTACATGCATTGCCCCCTCGCTATGAAAATCCCCCACCAGAATGGAGAAACTTCTCTAGGTTACATGCATTGCCCCCTCGCTATGAAAATCCCCCACCAGAATGGAGAAACTTCTCTAGGTTACATGCATTGCCCCCTCGCTATGAAAATCCCCCACCAGAATGGAGAAACTTCTCTAGGTTACATGCATTGCCCCCTCGCTATGAAAATCCCCCACCAGAATGGAGAAACTTCTCTAGGTTACATGCATTGCCCCCTCGCTATGAAAATCCCCCACCAGAATGGAGAAACTTCTCTAGGTTACATGCATTGCCCCCTCGCTATGAAAATCCCCCACCAGAATGGAGAAACTTCTCTAGGTTACATGCATTGCCCCCTCGTTATGAAAATCCCCCACCAGAATGGTGCAGTAGTTGCACCTGATGAACCTACACTGACGTCTAGTATCACATACTCTATCTCTTCCCTTCAAATTCACATGTCATGATTTGAACAGATACATCAGGCATGTGTACAGCATCACATATGCATGTGTTCAGCATCATGTAAGGCATGTGTTCAGCATCATATAAGGCATGTGTTCAGCATCGTATCAGGCACGTCTGTGCTCAGCATCATGTCAGGCATGTGTTCAGCATCATGACATCACACATAGTGTCGCCACCTTCAGAACACCCTCTGTGCGCTGTGTTCTTCCCCCCTCCCCAGAAACCCTGACAACCAACAGACTTTCTCCCATCTTCTTTGTGCTTCCTTTCCAGATTGTTTTGCAATTCAGTGTGTCGTCTTTTCAAACTCCTTCTTCTACTTACTAATGAGCATTTAGGTCTTATCGTGGTTTGTGACTCATTTCTACTTAGTGCCAAATTATATCCAATTGTCTGCTGATACAGCTTATCCATTCTTCCATGGAAGGGCATCCTAGCTGTTCCTCATTTTTAACAATTATGAATTAAACCGCTATATATCTATTTGCAGGTTGTTATGTGTGTAAGTGTCTTGCTACCAAGGTAAGCACCAAGGAACGTCATCACTGGGAGGTATGGTCATAATATGTCTTGTCTGCTGGGAAAGCACTACACTGTCTCCCAAGTGGCTGTACCATTTTTCATTCCTATCAACAGTCCTAATTCTATTGCATCATGTTATCACCAATGTTTGGTTCTGCCAGTGTTTGGAAACCTGGCCTGACAGTGTAGTGGTGCCTCCGCCTTCCTTCACTTTGCATCTCCCTGATGCCATGTGATGTGCTATGTCTTTTTATGTGGATGTTTCTCATGTGTACGTCTTCTTTGGTGATAGACATACCAAAGGTCTGCTAAAGTCTTTGACTCATTTTAAAATCAGTTTGTTGGCTTTCTTGTTGTTTTAGGGGTTCTTTGTATACGTCTTTTGCAAATACTTTCTGCAGGCTCGTAGCTTATCTATTTTTTGAGGAAATCTTTTGTAGAGTAGAAAATTTAGTTTCAGCAAGGTCTGTCTTGTCAATTTTTTCCCCATGGATCATGTGTTTGGTGTTTTTCTGAAACCAGCATCATCTGTATTCTCACCTGTGTTGCCTTCTTGGACTTCTGTAGTGTTGTGATCCAGGATCTGCTTTCCGTGGGAACGGTAAGCCACGTGTAAACCTGCACGCGGGCTTTCTGCTGCAGCACCGCCGTTTGTTTAAAAGGGCAGTTTTTTGCATTGTATTGTCTTTGCACTGTTGTCAAAGATCAGTTGACGTTTTTATGTAGTTCTGTTTTGGGGCTTTTAGTCAGTTGTATTGAACTGCCTATTCTTTACCAACTGCCTAGTCTTTACCTATTCTATGCCTTTACTACTAGTAAATCTTGAAGGTTAGTAATATTGAGCCTTCAGTTCTCCCCATTTTTGTCTTGAAAAAAAATTCCTTATTATTACTTAAGTAAACTTGAATGAATTTATGGTTTGGAACCAAAAAATATTTTTCCTTTTTAAAAATTTTATTATTTTTATTTTATGTGTATGCGTGTATTGCCTGCATGTATGTGAGTGCACCTGTGTCATGCAATGCCTGTGGAGGACAGAAGAGGCTGTTGGATCCCCTGGGACTGGAGTTACAATTATTAGCTGCCATGTGGGTGCTGTGATTTGAATCCAGGTCTTCTGCAAAAACAGTCAGTGTTTTAACCGCTGAGCCGTCTTCCCAGCCCTTTTTCTTTTCTTTTCTTTCTTTCTTTTTTTTTTTTTGGTTTTGTTTGTTTATAGACAAGGTCATTCTTTATAGCCCAGTCTGGTCTTGAATCAGCAATCCTCCTGCCTTAGGCTCTCAGTGCTGAGATTATAGGTGTGCACAAACATGCCTGGCTTGAAACTAAGTTCTGATAACCACCAACTAGTAGTCTCTATCTTTTCTCCTCTTCCACTTGAAAAATTAAATATGTGTGAGTTCAGATGCCAACTTTCGGGTCTGCGTTGCCTACTTGTGTATGCAGTTGCCAGAATTCTACCATTCCACGCAGCTCAAAGTGTCAGCTGAAACCACATTCCTTCAGGATATATTTTAAAAATATATGTATGCACTCTCTGCTTGTTAGGACCCCTGTGGAAATCTGGTGGAGGGTTAGTAGGGGGTGAAGCTATGGGAAGGGGTCTAAATGTCAAAATATATTGTGTGAATTTCTCAAAATTCAAAAAAGAAAAATATATGCATGAAAAATTTTATTTAAAAATACAAGAGCTAGCAATTTGACTCAATTAAGAGCTGTGTTCCCTCAGAGTTCTGGTTCCTCCAAGGGGCGGAGCCTGTGCCTGTG